TGCAGGGCTGGAAGGTTTATCGCTGCCAGAAAGCACCAATCCAACCCCTGTAATGAGTGTAATTATCACATCACCGGCAGGTTTAACTGAGATAAAAAACAACCTTATCTCCTATCTGTAGCAGYCATGGACACTGAGCCCCGCAGCTCTGACAAATAATTCAAAATCTGCAGGTTTGGTGTGCTCCACTCAGCCCCACCTCCCTGCCTGACTCCGCTGGCCAGCAACCTGCTGGAACCAGGAGGGTGGGCAGGGAATGAACTGGGGTGTTCCAAAAATACTGCACCCCAGAATTCACAATGAAGCTAAAATTCAGCAGGGTTTGATTGAAGTGAACACTTCTACATAAGTGTTTCACATCAATTCTTGTCATGCAAACAGGAAGATTTTTTTTTTTTAAATTCAAGCCAGGACGCTGGAAAATCATGTTCTGGATTTTTAAAAGAAGTTTTGTTTTGTTAGGGTTTTTTAAAATATTATTTCCCCAATCTGAATAGTGAGATTTTACCTATTGCTGCAAGCTCTGACATCACCACGTTTTCCAGTTCCTTCTGGCCTCCACAATTACTAACCTCACTCACATACAGAGAGCCACAGAATCATTTAGGGTTGGAAAAGCCCTTTAGGACCCCTAACCATGAAATTCTAAGTTCACATCCTTAACTTCCACGTCTTTGTGTSTTAAATGCCCCCAGGGACAATGACATGGTGTACTCAGAAGATTTGCATACAAACTCTTAAGCCCAGTTAACGGAAGTCTCCCTTATATCCTGAATGACATTTTCTAAAGGAACACAGATAATTTAAATAACACCAAATATTAACTTTGGGTAATGAATTGTGCTCCTTTTCTGGTCTTTACTTTTCCTTTTCACAAACTCTTTCCTGCCAGATCTGCACCCATTAGGCATGAGTAAAACTGTACGGTGGATCAGGAATCCAACAAGGATTGGTGTCTAACAAAGATACTCATTGGGAGAAATAATAGGCAAAACAAGTATTAAATCATGTTTTTAAGCAGAATGATAGCTGGAAATTTGTGCTGTARTTACAGTAAAGAGTCGAGGGATGGATTTTGTGTAGTTTGTTGATGATGCTATTTCAGAATCTGATATGAGAAATTTTTTCTGTCTGTTTAGTTCAGTTGTTTGTTTTTTTTTGTTCTAAGTTAAGATTGCATGTTGAATGTTGATTTTAATGATAAAATCTTGAAGTGTTCTAAACACAAGTGGACGTTTTTGCCTCAGAAGTGTTCTAAACACAAGTGGATGTTTTTGCCTCAGAAGTGTTCTAAACACAAGTGGATGTTTTTGCCTCAGCTTAACTCATTGTAGTTGTAAATTGAACCAGGTTACATTTTAGTCTCATTTGATGTCATGGCCAAGATTGTTCCTATGCACCATGACCTTGCGCTGAAACATTCTGATGTTTCAATAATAATTCTCCAACGAGGGCATAAACTCAGAACGGTTMCTCCACCGCTCTGCACAAGCTCAGCAATAAAGAACTTCTTTATTTATAAAACCCCTGCTTTCCCCCCAGCTTTCTGACATTCCTAGCAGCATTTAAGTGAAATCCATGTGGAGCCAGGGTCATGAATTTTCCATGAGGGAAGTGCTAAGTGTTATCACAGTAAAACAACCCGAGCACTGTCACAACCCCGAACCAGGAGCGTGTTTCAGTACACAAACATCAACCACACAGATCATTCCAACATTTYCCTCCCCCTGGCTGCTCCCAGCCCAGCTCCTCAGCGTGCTCTGAAGTTGTGCTGTGCTTTTGGAGGAGCTGTGCATGCCCTGACACTGGAGAACATCTCTTTGAGACCCGTTCTCAGCATGTTCCTGGCAACGGTCCCACCGCACCCCACCTTGCAATAACACACCTCAGATCAAATTCCAATTTCTTCACTGTCTCTTGGCAAAGGCACAGAACCCAGAGAAMAAAAAGAGCTTTCCTGGAAAAACAAGGACAGGTGCTGCAGTTTGTGGCACAGATTGTGAATCTGCCCTTGGAGCTGAAATGATGTTGTACATCTGGAGCTGAGTGTYCCACAAACACCAAACACCTGGCGCTGGGAGGAACAGTAATTTAAACCCCAAAGACCTTGTACATCGAGCTCTAACTCTCATTTTATTTGAGAGCCCTTTTATARCTACTCTAAAACTTCCCTGACTTCCCTTCCTAGCAGTTCCACACTACTCCTAATTTTACCCTGATGTTAGGAAGATGGATTGCCCATGGCTAACTCAATAATTTCCCATCCTTTTAAGGCCATTCCATTGTACACCCCCTTTTTTTTTTTTTTTTTTTGCTAACTCAATAATTTCCCATCCTTTTAAGGCCATTCCATTGTACACCCCCTTTTTTTTTTTTTTTTCCCTGCTCTTATCAAAGCTGCAATTCCCTTCTGCCACTCCAAATTTCACCTGCAGGAAAGTCAATCTATTTCTCATGAATTAATAAAGATTGTTACTTATGGCTTTATGTAGCGTTCTGCTTTGGTTTTCCGTGGGGCTTTTGAACTTGCAATGTTTATAGAAACAGCTTTCACGTAAATATCAGGCTACACAAATATCAGAACAAAGGGATTGTGCAAAAAACCATCCTGCCATGCTGTGAACAGGGGACTAATGGATGTAAGCCCAAGTGTGTCCGCAGGAACACAGTGGTTTTTACTCTTAATTTTAGCAGGCAGGAATAAACTGAGGAGTACATTCCCAGGCAGCCAAACCAATTTCCAGCAAGGATTTCACCCAGGCTGGGAGCACACAGGGGATTGATGTAACCAAAAAAGTGGATGAAGATAYTGGCAAAACCAGCAGGGCCTGGATCCTGCTGCAATGTCTGAACAYCCCTGAAGTTGGCTGGGTCGAAGCTTAATGGGTTTTTATCCTCAGGGTATCTGTTCTGGGCATGGGTTGGGATGGCTTCATGGAATCACAGAATATCCTGAGCTGGAAGGGACCCACAATSGTCACTGWYGTGCAGCTCCTGGCCCTGCACATCCCAAGAATCCCCCATGGGCCGTGACTTTTCCCACATTTTTCCTTTCCTCAGTCTGATGAGGATTTCACACTGCTCTGGGGTATTCCCAGTTGTGTCTGTACCTCCCAGCACCCCAAGGACAAGGCAGGATATTCAGGATATTCCAGGTCAGACAGCCAAATGAAGCCCCTGGTTTTTTGTGCACAAACTCTTTCTGTGCTCACACTCACACCCCTCACTAGGACCCACTTAAAGGGCAGTGACAAAGTGACAAGGACACAGACACGACAGCCTGGAAGAAGGGATTATTCCTTTACTTTTAATTGCATCATTATTGCATTTAAATGCTCCTGGCTTTGCATCCCACCCAGCTTTATTGCACGCAGTGACTCAGGGCGTGGGGAAATGCCACACAGCTGGAGAATGAGATGTGCTAAAGTAACAACTTCAGCCATGTGCAGTGTGTGCTGGGAAGTTGTAAATGATCTATCAATTATTTATTCCCCCCTGCAGCAGTTTACTGCAGCATAAAAGTGTAATAAAATTAGCTGTAAGAGGTATTTGTTAAAAACTGCTGACAGTCATTTGGAGGGATTTTCAGAGTGAGTATTAAAAAATAAACATCTTCAGGGCAGTAAAAAGTAACATAGCAAAACTTCCCTGCAGTGAGGAAAACATGGACAACTGCTCTTTTCTTACCCAGATATCGGAGGGGAAAATGAAGTTTTGGCTTTTTATAAGAAGTGGGCTTTTTTAAAGTGGTGTTAGCTCTTGGGCACTGGAATTATGGAGCTGTGACTGCGCTGGGGATCATCCCTTTTTACAGCACCACATTTTAAACAGCTGCTGCTGAAGTTTAGTCCTTTATGAACCAAAATCATCACCAAATTCTACCTCCATTTTTACAGAGCATGTCAAGAAAAACTGCAGTGGCTCCTGTATTAAAAGTGGCAAATCTCAGTGGCTGCCCAGGGTACCCCTCTGCCCCAGGTGTAACTGGAAGCACCAACTCCCACCCCAGAGGCTCAGGATTATGAAAAGGCCTTTGAAATGAGGAAACGAGTCGCTTCAGRGTTCCCTGCTAGAGCATAGCCCCAAAAATTTCACAGGAATGAGGAAAACACGGCTAAAGCCTGTTCAAAAGATGCTCAAAACCACAAATATGAGAAATATTCTCAGCTTGCTTTTCCCAGGCAAAATGTGAATAAACACTCTTTCCTCACTTGAGGAAGCGTGTTAGCAGGGGGGAAGATTTCCGTTGGATGCCTCTCTTATTTCTCTACTTGTACCACAAGATCTTTCCTCTCTGTCTCCAGAAAAAAAATAAAATTTAAATATCTTAAATATCTTTAAATATCTATTTGAATATCTTAATATCTTAGTGTACAATTAAATATCTTAAATATCTTTAAATAACTATTTCAATATCTTAATATCTTAGTTTACAATTAAATATCCTAAATATCTTTAAATATCTATTTGAATATCTTAATATCTTAGTTTACAATTAGATATCTTAAGTATCTTTAAATAACCTTAAATATCTTTTAAATATCTATTTAAATAGCTTAATACCTTAGTTAACAATTAAATATCTTGAATATATTTAAATAGCTACTTAAATATCTTAATATCTTAGTTTACAATTAGATATCTTAAGTATCTTTAAATAACCTTAAATATCTTTTAAATATCTATTTAAATATCTTAATATCTTAGTTTACAATTAAATATCTTAAATATCTTAAATATTTTTAAATAGCTATTTAAAATCTTAATGCCTTAATTTATTCCTTATTCCTTTCACTTCTTCCTTTTATTTACTTATTCCTTTCATACTTTTTACTTCCTTTTTATTCGCCGCTGCTCAGCAAGGGAACTTCGCGGCTCCATAACCAACACCCTCAAAGGGCAATTAAACAGGCAGTTAGAGAAAGGCTCAAATTCTAATTAGAGGATTAGAACAAAGGCAGAATGCCCATGCCCAGGACAGGTGCAGGTGCATCACTCACCACCCAGGGCTTGTCACAGAAGTTGTAGATGGACTCGAGCGAGTTGACGCTGGGGATGCCGGCGTACTGCATGCCGATGATCAGGTTGCGGAAATCCTCGTTCTCCGCCATGCTGTAGGAATGCTGCCGCACCAGCACGAAGTCAGGCCGGAAAGACCTGCTGAGAAACSGGCACATTGCTGAGAATCTGCCAGAAAAGGGGTTTTGCTTCAGTGGGAAAAGCTGCAGGGGAAAAATGGCTGGGTGGGAGGGAGAAAAGAGCGAGAAGGATCCTTGGACCAAAGAGAAATGCTGAAAGATGGGAAGAGTCTGGATGGCTTTATGAGAATTTGCATTGTTCCTTAATATTTTCAGAAAACACCAGCAGCCTCTCAATATTGGGACTCCATTGAGAGAGAAATTATTGTGGATTTGAAGTTGTTTTCCTGCTGAAAGTCAAATCACATCTATAACCTCGGGCCTTCGTTTGTGTCCTCCAGTTTCTGAGCAGTGACAATCACAGCCAAAGCAGGCAAACAGCTCTGCCACAAACTTGGACTTTTTGGGGAAAGTTTTTTTTCACAGCTATTTTCAGGCTGCTTTGAGTACAGTAAGAGGTGAGGCAACCACATTGCTGTTGAAAGGAGAGAATCACAACCCAACTTTTGATCGACCGACGTGTCAAGATGAATTTCCAAACTACAACTGCATTTGCCCCTTTTCTCTCTGGAATCTGATCAGCATTTCCCCTGCTGCTCTCCAGTCTCGTGCCTCTCACCCTGTGCCTTTGCCAACAGTCTGACACCATCTTCACCCTACTCCAACATTTTGTTACTGGAGAAGGTTGTGGAAAAGAGAAAACACAAAACAACAGGACAGAGCCTCCAGAACAGGGGAAATACCCTCCTAAATGTGACTTTTGAGAGTCTCTTCTGCATTACAATTTTACAGGGAAAAAACCTCTGAGTAGCTTGAAGGTTTCAACCTCCTAAAAGAGATGCAACTGMAGGGTAAATTAAATTAGCATAGTAAATTGGGGAAATTATTTACATGTCTTGAATAAATACAAGCTGTTTACTGGAGTGAGACACTCTGAAGGTTACAAAACGTCTCGGAAGTCTCAGTCTGGGAGAACAAAACAAAACAATTAAAATTGCTTGAGGAGCYTTGAGATCCCAGCCTGGATGCAGCAGTCCAAGCAGATTAGCTGGGTTCTTAAATTTCAAATCACACAATCAGTTTGGGTTRGAAAGGAGCTTCTAAAGTAATTTTAAAAGGGAGGGACACTTTCCACTGTCCCAGGCTGTTCCGAGCCTCACTGTCCAACCTGACCTTGGACACTGCCAGGGATCCAGGGGCAGCCACAGCTGCTCTGGGTATCCTGTGCCAGTGTTTTACCACTGCCACTGTAAAAATAATTTTTTAAAACCCCCAAACTTGCCCAGCTTTATAGATTTGCTGTCCAGAGTCATTGAAACAGCACTGAAGCTCAGCGAGCAAAACCTATTAAGATATTCTTGCCTTTAAACAGGTTTCCTAAAAAAATATCAGAGCTCTGAGATGTTGTGATGTAGGTTTGATGGGRGGCKGCCAAGCRTTTGAAAYAYRGAAATCCAATTTACTGGCCCAGCAYGAATGCAATGCTTGAGGACTAATGATGCCTTTGCCAAAATTGCAGATCCTCAGTGGGACCAAGAGGCAACTTCCACCACCTCAGATAAGGGGGATAACACATCACAGACAGTGCTGGRGTTTCAAATAAAAGGACAAATCAAATAAAGAGTTCTTTCAAAAGCCAGTTTAGTGAAACMGTTGGAAAATTGAGGGAATGTGCTTTTTAAAAATTCAAAATAAAGAAAGGTCCCCAAATGGAATATGATGCATTCCCATAATTGTTCTGGTATTCTGTAATTAATACTGGATGGAGGGACTGGATGCAGAAGAAGATCAGAACAAAAATTTTAAACTTGGCTCAAGCACCAAGATCCAAAATCTCAATATCATGTTACACAAAATATAATTTTTCATGGTGTAATTTTAATTCACAAAAATCAAACAAGGTGCTGCCTGTTATACATTTCTTTTTCCTCCTAAACCAAACCATCCAAATTTTGTCTTTGAAATTTCTATGATTTTGCTATATATTGAGCTAATATTTGGCTCATGAATCCATGATCCAAGGTGACTTTKGGCCTTGAATTGATAACAAATATCTCCAGTTACCACAGAAACATAGAATTGCTCTCCCATCGTGTCTGCACCTCCCTCTCACACCACAAAACACAGCCCCAGCTACCTCCCACCAGATTTGAGGGGAAATTACCAGCTCCAGGTAATCCTATTTGGGTAAATAAATCACCCATAAAATAATATATAATAATAAAATAATAATATTATAAAATCTCTTGTCATCTCACTCTCAGAATTATCTAATGAGCCAAGGGTCCTTTTGTTGCGTAACATAAGCAGCATTTTAACCAAATTTTCTCATGAACTGCAAAGCTTTGGAGCTGTTGTTTTCTGGAAGTTTCCAGCCCAAATTATCTCCTGACATGTTTTGATGGTAACTTGGCCTCGATATTTTCTGGAATACTTTTTGGAATATTTTTTTTTATACTAAAGAGAAGCCAGTAGGGAGCACAGATCAAGATTTCTCAGCTCCAAAACTTCCATCATTGGGTAAAAAATTCCACTAGGCCTAAGAAAAATTAAATCTCTTACTCTTGTAAGAAAATAATCTTGCGGATTTGGCAGGAGAYAGTTGTTGTATTAAACTGCAATATTTTTAGAAGATGTCTGAGATAAAACAGTTGTGAGCTTGGAAGCAGAAGCTTACTTTGGATGTTTTTTTCCCTGATTTTTTTTTATTTTTTTAACATGAATGAGCAGAAATTTTCAAATCTTTTGTTGGGAGAGATCCAGAACCTGTTTTGTTCTGTCTAGCTCCCTGACCTGTCACTCTTGCCCAAAAATGAGGAGTAAATTCCCAGGTCACTGGGGGCTCTGTCTTTAAATTCAATTTTTCAGCCAAGCAGCAGCCACATTTCCCTCCCAAGCAAAGCAGGAGCAATTCTCACCATTTAAATAAAAGACAGGATTTAATTTTACTGATTATTTTGCCGATATAATACTTTTGTTGATATAATTTTTCTAGTACTTCTTTAAGCTTTTATTTTGCCCAGTGTTTCCCCCTCCCATTTACAAGTTTGTTGATGTCGTCACTGAAAAAAAACCCCAAAATTTAAATTTACCCTGCCTGCAATTGGCATCATACTTTTTGGACAAAACAGCTATTGGGAAATTTGAGGTGTATGAACTGGAATTTTTCAAACAGGCAGGAATATTCTGGGAACTGTCCTGACAGGAGTGTTTTGACTCAGTCTGAATGGAAAATATTCCAGGTTGGAAATAAATACTGCTCATCTGGAAAAGCCTGGCAGGCAAAATCCCCAAATTACTGTTTTTCTGGAGCAAAGATGAAACCCAAATCAATAACCTGAACTCCCAGTCATGTATTCTTTATTCTGCACTTCATTCCCTTAGTAAATCTGTTTTTCCCCATGATTAAAATGTCAAGATGTGTCCTCCCTGTCACAAAAAGATTGTCACTGATCAGATGTTTTATTTTCTACTTTCCCTGACTGAGGGGCATCAGTCAAAGCCCCAAACACACCCAAACYCCTCAGCACCTTTCCCATCCACCCATGATGCCATTTATTGCATTTTTGCTGTTATTCCGTTTGGTTTTTCTTACCTGACCACTTTGTTGCCATTTCGAATGATTTGGATGTCGACTGTGTAATTGCCATCAGCATGGGCTATCAAGTTGATTTCTGAAAATTCTGCCTATGAAAAGAAGATCCCCATTAGTCAGTCTGCTTTAAATTACCTTTCTTTTCCTGAATCCTTTATTTTAACCATCAGAAGCTGAACTGCTGACAATACACATCTGAAATAAAATGAGCAACCAAGAGGACATAGATCCAGCAGTGTCTGTCAAGTGTGACACATCGTGTTTGAAGAAGTTTTAATCCACAGAGAGCAAAAAGTAAAAAAAAATGTGACACATCGTATTTGGAAAGGTTTTGATCCACAGAGAGCTAAGGGTAAAAAAAAAAAATGTTATGAAAATGGATTGTAGGGCAGCAGCAAGTGGATTTGCTTGGCCTGCAGGGAAATGTRGGGATTATACTTTTGCTTTGCACAATGTTATCAAAGAGATTAATGCAGGCTCAACGTTGACATCAAGTTTTGAAGAAAACAGTACAAAAACAGCATTAAAATAACTGCAATAAAAACATTTTCTTAGAGGATTTAGTGACTCCTCGTGCTGCTCACCCCTTTCTATTTTCTTTGTGTGCGTTTACTCTTCTTTTTAAAGGRCCTGGCGCTAATGAACGATTGTCTCACCAAATTCACAATTAAAGCTCTTTTTCAAAAGTCTTCTCACACTGGAMATTTAAAAGGAGCCACAGCCATACCCTGAATCTACAGTTATTTGAAAGGAAAGGACAGGATGTTTTTCATTTCTCCCCAGCCTTTCACCAGCTTAGACTCTCAAGGCACTTTACAACAACATCAGCCGGCAGAAGAATTGAAATGCAGCAGAAGAATTGAAATGCAGCAGAAGAATTGAAATGCAGCCAGCTGTCTTCTGGTGGATAAAGAAAAGCGTCTCTGCTGTCCCGGACAGCAGCCCAGAACAGAGAGTGTCACCATCCTCCCTGGTGTCCCCTTGACAAATGGTGGCACTGAGAGTCTTCCTCAGCTCACACCCCTCGCTGCGGGCTCAGCTGCTCCCGGCCCTGCTGCAGTCTCTSGSATGCCTTAGGATTTTYAGTTTCTATATTTTCAGTATCTGTATTCTTGTACTTCTCCAGTGCWCAGCAYTGAGCTCCTGTTCTCCCATCTTCAGACAAAACAATTCCTCTCTGRGCCTGAAATCCAAGGASACTTYGCYGCCTCAGARCCCCAAAATMTGKAAMCMAYRGAGAATTGGGGGGAGCAGGTTCGGGGTTGTTGACATCACCACCTGAAAATATCATTGGGGAATTGAGGCCCAATATGTTAATAAGACACAACTTATAACAAGGGCAGAGATCGTGATTCGGGGCCCATTTTGGGTGCAGCCTCAGGAGGAGGATTTTGTCTGCCCTAATGTACCAGTAGGCCTGTTAGGCCGGGATTAAAGTTGTCTGTTCTCATTCTCTTAAGTTTGTCTGGTCTCTGTTTCAGGTGAGCCTGATTTCCAAAGCAATATCTGCAGTCTGGGCTGCATTTCCAGCTCTGCTGACAGAGCCCAGCCCCTCACACTGCTGTGGGATCACCGGGACAGCCTCCTGGGCATCCCTTCCCAGTGCACTGCAACACAGGGCATGTGGGGAGAGGGATTCCTGGTATTTCTGCCTTTTTATGTACCTTTTGATTTATTTTATAAACCCTTTTAGACATTTTATACACACTTTCAGATATTTTATACACCCTTTTAGATATTTTATACACCCTTTTAGACATCTTTATACCCTTTCAGGTATTTTATACACCCTTTTAGACCTTTTGCAAAGCCTTTTAGATATTTCATATATCCTTTCAGATATTTTTTACACCCTTTTAGATCTTTTCTGTGCCCTTTATGTATTCCTGGTATCTTTGGTCTACAGGTCTGTAATTCTTGTAGCCTGATATTCCAGCTCAGTTTTGGGGTTCTGCTGGGCAGAAAAATCAGACATCCTCAGYAGGAGGGTGGTGAGCCCTGGGCTGTCTCAAACTCGAGGTTCCAACCTTGGTTGAAACCTTTTCTCTAAAACAYTGTGTAAACTGGGCTCTGGCCTTTTCTGGGAGGAAGTTCTTTAGAACAGTGGGGCATGACTTCATTTATTAAGTTTCYTATTGGGGAATTCTAGATAGATATGCTAATTTRTGRAGTCTATTAAAATTGTATCCATGTTATAYGTGGGGTGCATTTYCWRTRTTTTCYACCTTGATGAGTTGTGCACCCATGATCCCATTAAACACTGAGGGAAAACCCTTTTATCCCCTTACCCACAAATGCCTCACAATTCTAAAACCAGCCCAAAAGGCAACAAGAGGATGAAATATTTGTATAGGCRTTGAAAATGTCAGAGAATCATTTGCAATCGACTGTCTGTGGGGCTGGGAATGGATATCTCCAATTAATTGATCGCTTTAGGAGCTTGGTACGTGATAGAAGATGTTGTATACTAAGAAAGGCAGTGTAAAAATGCAATAATGTTCTGATATTAATGCAGGGCCCTGCAGTAGGTGCTGTTTGTCCTCAATGGTCACTGTGCTGAGTTGTGACAAAGGGAATTGTGTGGTCAAACTGCCCTTCACTCTGGTTAAAGGCAGGGCACATGAAGGAAATTCCAGGTTTACACCCAGTTTTTCTCCTTTTAAAGCAATGTGGCGTGTGCTGGCAGCTCTGATCCGGGTGCCAATGGCCCTTCTGAACAAATCTKCCTTTCCCTGCCTCTCCCTCAACACTCCTGGAGACCCCTGGCAAAGCTTTCCACACTCCCAAGCCAAGAGCATCAGATATTCAGTGGAGTGCAGAACGGCTGCTGCAGCATCCCAGTGAATTTGGATCAGCTGCATCCACAGCCAGGCACAATTTCCCCTCATTCTTTAAAAATCCAGTGACAAAACAACTCAAGGACTGATTGATGCTCCTCACAGCAGCGTCTATTTGTGGAATTCAAGATTCAAAAGCAGTRAAAAGATTTATTTAAATCCCTACTTTCAGCTTAAATAAAACAGCCATAATTCTAGTGCACTCCATATTATATCTCCATATTTTTTCCTATTTCTGATGTGTTTTTTAAAACCCCCACATGCTAGCGCTGCACCCAGAGCACATTTATATTCTGGGGTGATGAATTAGTGATACARAACTGCCACACGGAATTCATGGAGTGTCTGGGAACTTTGCAGTCTCTAAGCAACACCTTCTGAATACAAGATGGTTTTCATGCTGTGAAAATTATGGTCAGGATCCTCTCAGAAGAGCCCACGTTGGGTGCCAAAAAGGGGCTGCTGTGGTGTAACCCCAGCTGGCAGCTCAGCCCCACACTCAACCCCACCCAGAGGGGTGGGTGGGGAATCAGAAGGGAAAAAGAAGGGGAAAACAAAATTCAGGAGATAAATCCAAAGCTGTGTGTGGAAGCAGAGCAAACCAAACCCCAGAGCAACTGCCAGGGAGAAAATTAACTCTGCCCCAGCCAAAACCATCACTTCTATTGAAGTGTGAGGGGGTTTGGGGTACAAATGTTGTGAGTTTATCAGCACATGTCTGCACAAAGAATCACAAGATCATTTAGGTTGGAAAAGCCCTCTCAGATCATAGGGTCTGACCATTGATCCAAGGCCACCACCAAACCGTGTCCCCAAGTGCCACACACACATGGTTTTCAGATCCCTCCAGGGAGATGTTTATTAAATATATAGGGTTTTATCCCAGGAGGTGGTTATTGAATATATGGGTTTCTATRAATGCACAAATAGGAAAATAACATCCAGGTTAAGGCAGTTACCTGTTCAACCTTTATGTCAAACTCTCCATGGACCTTTTTTCCACGAAAAGCCTTGGCCCTGCAGGGAAATTAAAAAAAAGAGAGAATATTAAGGATATGTTTGTAATCAACATCTATAGAAAAATTCCTGTGTTGCCTTGAAAATACACTTTTAAATATTTAATTTAATATTAATTAAATCTCCCCACTACACACACAGAGTTTCCCTCCTTTGACATGCTTGTGTTTTTCRTTCCATCCCACATCATTTTGTGATAAAAAGCACGATGGGATTTCCAACACTGAAGTGAGAACACGCTGAAATGATAAAACACCCTGAAGCATATATTTCCCAGTTCTTAAATAACAGAAAAGGAGTTCAATTAAACAGGTGCAATCCTGCTCTCAAAGTCTACAATGCCATGGAAATTCATTTCCATGTGAGCAACTTCCCAACTTCCCAACCATGTTCACCTTGATCCATAGAGTTCATTTAGAAAAACTGCTTTTTTAGGAACATTGTGCTTGGGAACTTTACATTGTTTTGGAAGTATCAGAGGTGCTGGAGGCTGCTGTTGTCAAATCCATGACTGCCTGGTTCCCCAGTCAGTTTTCCTTTCTCTAGACCAACTTGAGATGAAATAATTWATGTGAAGGAGATCTTCGGAGCGGTTATTCTGTACCAGGACTGCTGTGATAAAGCAGAGCTGAGCTCACTGATCCATCCCCAGGCCCCACAAGCAGATATTCCTCAAGGAGCCCACCCCTTGTAYCCCTCAGGCTGCATGTATCTGCTTTGGACTAAAGAGAATTTCAACAAAAAAGATAAATCTGTTGATAAAAAGGAATTATTCTGACATCCTGGAGCTGGAAAAGGAATATGGTATCGTCTCTCTGCGTTTTCTTTGTTCAATTCAACCCTTAGAGTACTTTTCCTACTTTCTTTTTTTTTTTTCTGCAAGGAAAACAAAGTTTCACAATTCAAAAGCAGAGCACCACAGAACATTGTCTCAAGTGGTAAAGAAGAGAAGCTCTGTCCATTTCCAACATGTAACAAAATGCTCTTTTATTACATGAAATCTACCTCACCAGTGAAAGAAATTAATACATAACRTAAGAATGAATCATTGCTTGTGGAAAATCTTATTCCCACTGTGGGTCAGATGATTTTCACCACCCGTTTCAATAGTGGAAGAGCCAAACTTCGTAATAATCAAATGAAAACGCTGCCTTAGGCAGCATTTCTGAAGGAGTAAGGATATTTCATAAGGATCTCTTTAAGCRTATGGATAATGGATGTTAGAAACAAAGCAAATGTTTGTACTGAAATCTCACACTGAAATATTGCCCAAGCAGTAACTCTGTACAAACATGCAACTGGTGAGAAGAAAACAAGGAAGAAAGCATTAATATTATTATTTATATTGTTTTCTGGCAATAAACACCCAGGAAATGGAAAGCTTGAAAGCCAYTGTTTTCTTTAGGAGGTGCATACTCAGCTTTGTGTAATTCAAATATATTTGCCAATACTAAAAGTGAAATTCAATCTACTGTACCATACCACAAACCTAATTTACAGAAGTATCATGAATCAGTTATTGATTAATGACATTAATTACATTAATCGCTTTTCTTTCCAAATCTGTATTGGAATCCCATATGGGGAATGTGAACATCATCCTCTTGGGAGCTTTGAGGATTGTGGACATGGCTTAAATTTGATAATGTTATTTATGCTGAAGCATCAGCTGGAGCATGTTAATCCTACAGGAGCAGGAAAACCCCAAAAAATTGTGCCAGAGCAGGGAGGAAGGTCTCACAATCACAGATAACACCACATCTGCCTCAGGAGAAATGCATCACAACAACAGGCAGCTTTAAAATCTCTCTGAAAAACAAAGACTTATCACTACCAAAACCACTTAAAACTCCAATCCTGATCTCCATAAACTCAACAGCAGTGTTCTGGTGGAATTCTKTTGGGAGCAGGATGAGCTCCTGGATTTTATTTCTGATGCAGTAACAAGTGAGGTAAATGTGTTATTGGGCAATCAACAACACACATTTAATTTAAATGGAATTATGTTGGATACATTATAGTGAAGATGTTTCTTGAACGCTGCAAAATGAGCTTGGAATAATACCCAGTTTCTTAAATCTGAGTGAAAYTTGGCCATCCATGGAGATTAAACTTCCCCCAAGGTTGGCCCAAACAAATACCAGCAACTGATTCTTCTTTGAGAGAGGAAATGGAACTGGGACAGAGCAGAGAGCCCAAGACAGACCCTCTGCTCTTTACCYCCAAACCCACTGCACATGTTTGAGTGAGATAACCAAAATATTCATTAATTAATTACTGAGATGTTATTCCTCTGAGTTCAGCCATTTGCTCAAACATGAGGCAGCCTCCAAACAGCTCAAGTCTGGCATGGTTCACATTTCAACAAATGACTTCAGCTTGGAAAATAAACAGGAGTAGTAAGGACTGGAATTAAGCAATCTGCGGCTTCAAAACAAATCTGACATTCAAGCACTGATAGAGACTTAATTTCACAGCAGCTTTAGCCAATAACTTTTATAAAAATGTATCATATTCTGCAATATTCCCCAAATGCTGTGCCACAAACTTCAAGAATTTTTCTTGGGGTCTCTAAATAATGAATTACAGACTTATGACTCAAACATTTTAGGACAAAGCCTAAGAATTCCTTAGCACATGTTTACTGTAAAATATAACCTGGTTTTCATTTTATTTACTTTACCTAGGAAATTCAGTTATGCTCTGCTTGAATTATTTCCCATTTCCAGTGTAAGGAATGGRCAGTGCTATCAAAAACACATTCATTTCATGCTTATGGTAATTTTTAAACTTTTTTTTTTTTTCTTTACTGAGGGAAGATGAGGAATAGAATTGTTTGGTGTTACTGGTTGACAGAATTCCACTCAGTTGTAGTTTAACATTCCTGTTAAGCCTTATTACTCTTGGCATGGAGCATGGAATATTTGTAAGCAGCTCTCAGGGCTTTCCAGGACAGGKTCTCTGAGGAGCAGGAGGTGAGCTGCCAGCACGAGTGAAGCTAAAAACCAAAAATGCCCCAAATCAGGTAACATTTTGATGATTTTTTGCATTTTAAATGAGGAAGAGGAGGGGAGGAAAGAAAGTGGCACTACATCCACCTGGAAGTCAATCCCTGYTTTCCAGAGCCAGCAGAGAGGGCAGAGAGCAGGGAAGGGATGCTGCCTGTTGGAGTCACTGGCACGGCCCCTCACAGGCAGAGGCTTTTCAAAATACCTGAAATATTTATGCATCTCTTGCTTCACAATTCATATTTAAAATGAAGCAACTGGAGAATGTGCAGCTGCCACAGAGGCAGCCCAGCACAAACTCACTCCCTGAACTCTGGCAAGGACAAGGAACGAAGCAGAGTCATTAAAGGTGCCTCAAATATGTAAAAAAATCTGATTGTTTCCCTCCTCAGCTACACAGCATCCACACATTTCCACAGCCTCCTGCTGAGGATGTTTGGTGTTTTGCTAGAAAAACACTAAAATCAAGTCAGAATATCACATTGCAAAAATTACAATTACTCAGGCTAAGGGTACAGAATACATAAAGGGTACAGAAAATACATAAAAGGGTATATTAAAATAAAAAGAAAAAAAGCAAAAATCATCAGGCATCACCATCAGCTCTGTTCTGCTGTTAATCACTCAGATGGACTCAGTGCCCTCTCCAGAGGGAGCCCAGCCTGGCAAGGACACACAGATTGCCCCTCAAAGCCCCTCACCCTCACAATTCACAGAAACCCAAACTCAAATTCATTCATTTCACACGAACATTTTTTTCCCAGCATGTCAGGTAGGACAGGAGTGATACAGCTCTTCATTCTCAATCTAGTCCAGCCTTTTGAAGGGCAAAATAAATTGCACATTAAAGAAAAAAGTGCTTTTGCCAATATGCCACAGTGTGTCAGCACCTGAAATCAATGCATCAGCTGCTGCTAGATCAAGGTTATCAATGTTAATGTATAGAAAGAGAATTTCTGGGAGCAAAGRCAAGCRCTCACTGTCCTGTGCCCCTCAGCTCTGTCCCCCAGATGGCCCAACCCTGGCACTGCCACCCAGATAAACCTGCCAGGTCACAGCATTTYCTCTSACTGAGCTCCCAAYTTWATAGGRGACCCYGTGRTCCCTAAATSCAGCTCCCTAAACCAGAGSCCAGACAGAATTGAGAGAATCCAAAGCAGTTCTGTTATTGCAGGGCCTTCAGGGCCATCCAGGGCAGTCCCAGCCCAGCCAGGGCTGCACCCACAATTGACAATGGCTCACGGCTTTTTCACCCTTTCTCACTTTTGTCCATTTGCACATCGGGATTTGCTGAATCCTCCAATTGCAGCTCAGCCAATGCAGTCAAAAACTCCAACTTGGCTCCTCCAATTCTCTGTTCTTTCCATCTCTTGGGGCCTGGCCCAGGGAGGTGTCCTTGAGTTTGGGGCTGCAGAGGAATTGTTTTGTGTAAAAATGGGAGAGCAGGAGCTCAGCACTGTCTGTGGAGTCTGGAGTTAAACACTGAACAATCACAGGGGTACAGAGACATGGAAATGGAGAAGATAAAATCCTGAGGGATCACCCGAGAGCACAGCCACTCTCAACTCACTCTGAGCAGGACAGGACAGAACATCTGCAGGGATCACTGCTCCTCAAGGCTTTCCTTCCCTCCCTCCTGCAGCACAGAGCAAGGAACTCTATGAAATACTTAATACATAAATACTTAATAAATAAGTACTTAATAAATAATTTTTTTGCTTAAAACCCAAACCTCCTGCATGCATCCTCATGCCCTTTCCCAGTCCCTTCACCAGGGAAGGCCAAACTCATGAAAAACCAGAGCAAACATTTTTTAGTGAAGGACTTTCCTGCCCAGACAGCAGAGAAACTTCCCAGAAAGACTTAGCTTTAAAAGCTTATTTGAAATAAACCCTAATCTCCCTAGAAATAAAGAACACCATTTTATTAAGCAGCAATRATTCCATTTCCCTGTCTGGGCTGCACACCCCTCTTGCTAGAAAGGTGTTTTGGTTTTTTTTCACAACAGAAAATTAAGAAATGTGTTATGCTCTGCAAAAGATCCCCAAAGGAGTATGATGTACTCCCATAATTGTTCTGGCTCTGTAATTAATGTTGGATGGAGGGACTGGATGCAGAAGAAGATCAGGACAAAAGTTTTAAACTTGGCTCAAGCAGCAAGATAGAAAATCTCAACATCATGTTACACAAAATATAATTTTCCATGGTGTGATTTTCATTCACAAAAAATCAAACAAGGTGGTGCCTGTTATAAATTTCTTCTTCCTCCTAAACCAAACCATCCAAATTTTGTCTTTGAAATTTCTATGATTTTGCTCCCTAATATTTTGCTCATGAATCCATGATCCAAGGCGACTTTGGGCCCCAAATTGATAACAAATATTTCCTTCAGAGGCATCCATAATCTCAGTCTCTTTTTTTTCTCCCTAATATCACAAGCCCTCTCCTTTTTAACAAATTCTCCCATCCCTTGGCATGTGTCATATCCCCTTCACTCTGAT